GACAATGTCCTCTTTTCCCCTCAAATGATGGCCCTCTGCTCTCAAGCAGAGGACTCTCTGCAAGCTTGGACTCTCTCGTCCCCTCGGATTGCAGGGGTAGAGGCTTCTGATTCCTGAGTAGAGGCTACTCTTTGGTTGGTTATGGAAGCAACTACACAGGACAGAAATGTGGCCTTCTGCAATTCTTAAAGTCAGGGGACCAACATCTCAGCAGAGAGGGAAATTCAGTCAGAATCGGAAAACGGTGGAATCTATGGGGATTCAGGATCAGAACAGAACCACTTACCTTAGAGTCTGGTGGGAGCCTCTTACTGTCCCGGAAGCAAAGCTTTCAACGTAGTCCACAGCCTTTGCAGTGAAGGCCTTCCCACACGCATAGCTCTTTTATCTTGTTTTGTTTCTTTATTGTTGTTGATACATATATACATATATATATATAAAAATATACAATATTTTGCTGTTGCTTTTTGTTTTTTTGCCTTTTTTTTTTTTAAAATAGCAGTGACCCAGCTTTAAGGCTTGAAAACATATGACCTTGAGTAGGGTCTTATCCCTCTTCTAAGAATTCTCTGGTCATCTCAGATGAGCCCTTGTTTCTGGAACGTACCCTACCTGCCTGTATCCCTGAGCGGCTGAGTTTGCCTTATGGACTGTCATTCTGCAGGTGCTACCTGCATGTGACTCTGTAAAGATAGGGAGTATGCATCTTTCAAAAGCTCACACCTTCGCGATGAGTGGGCCTTGCTTTTTTCCAGTGGGTCCTTTCCTTCTCTTAACCCCTGTGCTTAAATCTAAGCTAAAATATACTTATTAAACCCAACTCTGCCAAACAGACAAACAAACCCAACAACTACCAAAAAACCACTTACATAAATAAGGTCTCATATAGCCCAGGTTAGCTCAAACTTGTTGTGTACCAAGGCTGGCCTTCAACTACTCTTGTCTATATATCTTGAAGGTTGTGATTACAGACCTATGCTACCACAATAGGCTTAAATTTTTTAAAATTTTCTTTTTGTTGCACTGACCCATATCGGTACTCTTCCAGGCTGTACCCGAGCCACACACCCTACCTTGGCATCGATGCGGCATGGCGGCTTCCGCTTCTGCTACTGCGCATGTACGGAGCGCTGGGGCTGAGAACGCTGGTATTTCCGTCTCTTTTCACACAAAGAGGCAACCCAGGCTCTGTTACAGTCCCGTTTTTTGTTTATTTTGACCTGGCTCTCACTTTTCAAAGGACCCCAGGCTGGGAGCTGTTTGTAGAGTCTTCCCTCCAGGCTACCCTTTCTTCTGGTCCCCAGCTCCCTGAAGGCGCCTCCAGCCCCGGTTTCATCTGCCTCCTCCTGCCGCAGCCTCCCATCTGCCTAGGGGCTGCTGCTGGCTGAAGCTGCAGCTTCAGGGGACTCCCAGGAGGGGCAGAGCCACAGGGCTCTTCCAGGTAAGGCTGACAAAGGCAGGAAGCCGAGGAAGCCTGGTGTCTTGCCGGCCAGGATGTGCTCTCCTTGCTCCTACCCTGTAAGGGAAAGGTTCCCCTCCCCTTGGAGCTGTAGGGTTTCCAGGTGGCCTGATGCTTTCCAATGACCCTCTGAGCTCTAAGTAATCCTGGGAAAATGGCCATGTTCTGACCTGGGAAATGACCAATCAGTGAACAGGCCAGTCCTGACCGCCCCCTCCCTGCCTGAGCACAGCATATGCTTACACTTCTGAAACTCAGACGCCCTTAAATAGGACTAGCTTTCATCTGGAGAAACCTCAGACCTTCTCAGACAAGAAAGGGACACTGTAGCTTAAAGCACCGACAATCTGGCTTCTGAGAGGCCAAGACACTGGCCAAGTGAGTTGGAGCAGGGGAGGGGGGACCTTGCCCTTCCAGCTGGACCCTCCCTCCAGGATAGCTGGGGGCTTCTTCTGGGGCATGTTCTGAAGTTGTCCCTGGGCTGATGCCTTGACAGGGAATGTCTTGTTCTCTCACTACCCCCTTGAGTTTGGCAGGGACAAGCCAGCTTTACAGACGTAGGCACTGAGAGAATGGAGAAACATCCTTTTTGAGTTGACACCGGCATCAAGACAAGGCGACGCTGGCTTCCAGCACACTCCGATGTTCGTTTCTGGTTTTGAGACTGGCCTCTAACTTACTATATAGCCCAGGATGACCTTGAATTTCTGAGCTTCCTGTGTCTCTGAGGTGCCAATGTTATAGATATGGACCACCATGCCCAGTTTACGCTATGCTAGATGTAACCTAGGTCTTCACGCCTGCTAGGCTAGCACTGACTGAGCTACATCCCCAGTCCTTCTAGCATACTTTAAATAAAAATTCTTGGGGAAGATATTTCCTTGAACTCTCTGAGCACAGTCTTCGCACCTGCAAACGGGGCTGTTCTGGTAGTGAGGGGTTGCATACACAAGTGTGTACAACATGGACAAGGTCCTTGCACTGACTACCATGTAGGAAGAGTGCCCAGGCTGCCCCTCCCACCAGCCAGCTCCGGCTTTCTCACTGAGCATCACCAAGGTCAGCTGTGTGACCGACGATCCAAAATAGGTCAAGTTCCGGTTCCGGGGAAATGCTATGGGCTATGGTTGTTTTGGCAACCATGCACTTCCAGATAGGACCTGGACCTGTCTGTCTTTTCTGGTTTGGGTGGAGGCCTCAGAGAGGAAGGAGAAAACAAAGACCATTTGTTTTATTTATGATAGAAAAAGAAATCAATGGGGGGGGGGGGAATCCACAGACCCAACAGGAGGGGAACATGTTTAAATAAAGTGCGATCCGTTCACTGGATGGAATATTCAATGCCTTTTGAAAATGATGTTTACCGAGGGTTTGTAATAACACGGAAAGATGCTTATTCTGAAAAAAAAAAAAGAAAAAAAAAAAAAACGCCGTGTGCAGAAGGAAGCAACAGAATTATATGTTCAGCACAAACACACCCGGGCAAAAACCAAGCCAAACAAAACCTACAAACAGAAGAAAGAGACCCAAGGGACACACACCCCAGCAGGAGACGTCTTTGGGTGGCAGAACTGAGAGTTTTTAAAAATATATTTCTCTATCTTCCAATTGTCTCTCTTTATTTTTCTATAAAGGGACAAGGACTGGCTTAAAGTGGAAAACAACCCACACGTCTTCTTTCCTCCCCTAAAGCAGTAAGAACTCTTAGTAGGAAAAAAGCAAGACAAATGGTTCTCAGGGCCCCCTGACGCTTAGGCCACTCGGAGGCCGAGGCCAGGATGTCTGCAGACCCTGAGCTATTCCCTAAAGTCAAGCGGGCACTAGACTCTGAGCCAGTGTGAAGCAGATGCCAGCAGGCTGCCACAGCCGCAGACTTGGACATGGTACCTGTGACTCGATTGTAACTGCCCCCAAGTGCACCAGGTCGGCTTCTCTCCCAGGGAACAGAACCAGAGCGAGATCAGTGATCTCTCCCTCTTCTACCCTGAGATTGTCCTCAGAAGCAGCCCTGTCCCCTCGCCAGTGTGACAGAACCCTTCCCCTTCCCACCAGGTGAGTCTCCAACCTGATCGCCCCTCTGATATATTTCGGTACATTTCATCAGGGAGAGAGACTTCATTGTGTTGCAGGGCCTGCTTTGCCCTTGCCTTAGGAGTTAGGCATGCTGAGTTCAATCTCTTCCTGTGCTGTGCTTTGTTTACGAATCAGCCTGTTCTCCTCCACTGGAACACCGCTGCTCCCCCACCCACAGAGCAGGGCCCAGCCAGGCCCAAACAGACTGCACGTGTTCATCTCACCAGTGAACTCTGTCCACCGTGCCTCCGCTGGGTTCCCTACTTGGCTCTTCTGTAATCACTTCTACTCCCCAGACCAGCTCCTCGGCAAGCCATGACTATGGGGCTACTGTTTTGAACAGTTCTGAGGTCATTCTAAGGGCTCATCAGGAAAAGATACAGGGATTGATTGGTGATGTCTGGCACATGAGCGTAAGGGATGTACAGAGACTTAGTCTCAGTGCCCCTTCTCTCATTAATGACGACACTCAACATTTACTGGGGTCTAGAACACAGGTTTTGTGATTTTTCTTTTTCTTTCTTTCTTTCTTTCTTTCTTTTTTTTTTTTTTTACACCTTCCCTGGAATCACTTGCCTGGTTCTTACTTTCGGTGTGCCACAGTTTCCTTAAAGTGTTTCACTTCCTGGAAGCCCACCATGGCCCAGACAGCCTTTCTTGCTCGGCTTTCAATTCAATTGTGTTCAGCTGGTTCCTCCTCCCAGGCCTTTGGTCAGGGATAGCCACCTTGTGTGGCCAGGGATAGCACTCTTTTCTTATCTCCATGTCAAAACTCCTCCTTGTTCTACATCCTAATCTGAATCTTCCAAAAAGTGCCCCAGCCTCAGTTCCTGCAGCTGCATGGCCGCCCTTAGGATCTGCCCCTAAGGGGCAGTGTCCAGATTCTTGTCATCCTCCCTCTTGTCAGGCCTGGCCTGACTGTAACTCGCACCCCCTGGTTCCTGAGGTCTCAAGAGCATCATCCCTTTCTCTGGACGTCTTAGTCTCCCTCAGAATGGAGCAAGGCCTTAGCAGGCAGGGTAACAGGGTGGACCAGAGTCTTTGCCTTTCTTCCTGGAAGTTGGGTCCCCTTTGATGTGAAACCTTGAGGGCCTGGATGCTCCACTAGAATCTTCCAACTCCACAGCTCCATCCTGGACCTGCGTCTCCTTGTTCCTTCCCTTCCAACAAAGCAAATGAGATGGCCACCAGACACAGAGCTGGTCACATGGATGAGCTGAAGAGTGGTGGCTGCCCTGCCCAAGCAGAGAGGATTCTGAACTGGAGAGTCTATTTAGGTCAGGTGGTGGTGGGCGTGGCAGGGGTCCGGGAAAACCTGGAACCGCATCTGCACCCTGCCTCCCAAGACATCAGCTGTGCAACAATTAATATGCAAATAGAACTGCCAAGATGGATGCCTTTCTCCTTCCAGCACACAGAACTTGAGGTAACCAAAGCAAAAAAAAAAAAAAAAAAAAAATGGGCCTTGGTCAATGTCCTCTACACACAGTGTTCCTGTGTATACAGTGTCTATCCTTCTCACCAAACCTCAGGGCTATCCTGAGCTCCTGCCCAAACCTCCTTCAGTCCTTTCCACCTGTGCTCCAGGTACTTCTAGAAGCTCCTAAGGCAGGCCTCAATGCTTAGGAATTGGTGAGACCATTGCTTAGGAAGGTGGTCTGTGGTAGCTCACTGAAAGCCAGCCAGCTTGAGAGGTCCCCCGGAAGTACCCTGGCCCCTGGAACTGTGACTGGGATAAGACGGCGGCCCTTCATTTCCCGTGGGGTCCTGAAATAGCCCCAGCCAGGAATTCTGATTTGAAGCGCAGTGCTGGGCCAGTCACTCACGCAGTTGTAGGGCGCCAGCTGTCCTGAGATGCTAGGCTCTGGCTTCAGTGTTGTAGCAGGCCTGTAGCATGGCTGTCAAAGAATCCTCCAAGGCCCCGTAGCCTGTGGTGGAGGAAAGACAACTTTCCACTCCGCGGCAGGCCATGTACCTGCCAGCCTCTTACCCAGAGTGATGGGCGGGGAGTTTCCCTGAATCCTGTTGGAGTCCAGAGGAAGGGCTGCTAGACAGGGGTCTGAGGCACATCAGGGACAGGCAAGGTCAGGACGGCAGGCAAAAGGGTGCCCCGTGCAGAAGGGAAACCCTGTAACTCCTTAGGCACAAACCTGGGCGAGATGTGGTCCGCCAGGAAGCAGAGCGTGCGCCTGCGCCCCACACAATAGATACGATCGTCCACCACTGCGCACTGGAAGGCATCGGGGTAAGGCAAGCGGTACGTAGCACACTCATACCAGAGCCGGGTGCTGGCACTGCAGCGGTACACGCTGATGCCCAGGCTGCGGTTGAGGTCAAAACGGTAGAGAAAGCCATTGACGGCCACCATCTCGGCCGTTCGGTCCTTGCTGCCCCCAGTGGGGCCTGCCCACCAACGCTGTTCTTGGGTTGAGAATCGGAGCAGCAAGTAGCGCAGGCTACCCCCGGTGACAAATATCTCGTTGGCGCACACCGTGGCCGTGTGTGCCAGGGCAAATGTGTCATTTGGGAGTGGTGGGGCAAAGGTCCAGCGGTCCAGGCGAGGGTCGTAACGCTCCACTGTGTTCAGACACTCACCTCCAATGGCATAGAGGTGACCCTCCAGGGCCACCAGCCGGCAGTGAGGCCGGGCCTGGTTCAGTGGGCACACCTCACTCCAGATTGCCGTCAGGGGGTTGTAACAGAAGACGCGGTTGGAGGGTTGGCCCCTAGGTCCCTGGCAACCAGATACCACAAACAGATAATTGAATAGGGTACAGAGGGCACAACCTCGGGACATGGCCTCTTGGGGTAGCTGGGCCAGCGGGTGCCAAGCATCTCGCACATTGTCATAGCAACAGAGGCGGCCACTGTCTTCCTGAGGACACATGTCTGCCACCACCAGGCACTTGTGGCCACGGAACCTGCGCTGGAGGATCAGCTCCCGCTCTGCCCCGCTCAGGCCCCCATAGATGTCTGTGCTGCGGAGAACCTGAAGGTAGTTATCGCTCAGTACCTTGTAGGCTGCCTCCTTCAGGGCCTCTAGACCCTGCCTCTTGGCCAAGGTCAGCACCTCATAGCAGTTGCCCAGGTCCAGGCGGACATCTGGAGCTGAAGCAGGGGTGAGCGGGATGTGGAAGAAGTTGGTCCCAGCTACAAGCTGCACCTGGGGCTCCCCACGGCTGCAGGCTGAACTGAGCTGGGTTCTGTGGTCCAGGCAGGCAGCAAGGGGCATCCTGAATCCTTCAGGCTGCAGTTGGAGCTCCGGGTTCTCAGCGATCTGCAGGAGGCTCACCTTTCTGCTGAAGCCTGGTGCAGAGGAGGGTGGTACAGGCTTCGGGGATGCTGCTTCAGACGCGCCACCGGCTGTGTTATCATCTTGGTCTCTGGAGGCTATTCCTGTGACCAGGGGCTCTGGTCCAGGCCCAGGGGACGGAGCATCAGCCAAAGCTGCTGTGCAGGGGACTGGCCTGGAGACAGCTTTCGATGTGGACTCCACAAAGTAGTCATATACTCTGCCCTTCAGCTCTGGTCCCTCTGCCTTCTGTATAATATTCTCCTCCATCCGGATCCGGGCCACAGATGAGAAGGTATGGGAGGCGTTGGTGGCTCCTTCCTGCTGCTGCGTGGCCAAGCCCATGTCTGCAGCAGCCTGGAGGGCCCCGGCCTCTCCCCTGCTGACCCCTGTCACGTGGGTGAAGATCCAGCTCTGACTCATGTCCCCGTTGACCAGTGTGGGATCCGTCCAACAGCTGGGGGCTTCCGGGTCCCCAGACCCTGTTTCCTCTAGGGGTCTGCCGTCTGGCCATGGAGAGAGCTTGTCATCCACACAGTTGCCACCCACTCCTGGGACAAGTCTGGGTGGGGAGCTTGTAGGTTCACAGGCCGAATGAGGGAGGTGGGGAGGGTTGGGCTTACCTCTAACATCTCTTCCGGCTTCCTGGCCACCGCAGGGAGGAGACAGCTGCTGAGAGTCTGGACGCTGCCTGCCCTGACTTTCCTCAGAGCCTTTTCTTACGGACTCCTCAGACCTGGAAGTGTCCAGAATGCAGGAGTCTTCTGGATCCTCCAAGCTGTAGTCCAGTGGGGCCCCAGCCCCCTTGCTGGCTTTTCTGCGTCTTGGACCCCTTGGCAGGGTCCCCAATGGAGCCTCCTGGAAGGCAGGTTGTCCCAAGCCCTCTGTTTCATTTTCTGTCTTGTGGCCCTTGTTATTTCTCCCCGCCTGCCCGGCTGGTGCAAGCCTGCACTTGTAGAGTTTGTAAGCCGCTGTTACCAGGAGCAGCGCAGCTGCGGACAGTACCACCTTGCTGGTCAGCTGCATGTCCAAATGCCAGTCGTGGGCCTCTGCTCCTTTTCTGCTGGGGAGCATGCTGGCCAGAGACAGAGGAATGCCAAGAATCCAATTAATGATTGCCCAATAGGGACAAGTTCCTGGATCCTGCTGTGGAGTGGGAGGGAGTCCCTAGCCAGATCTGGCCAGCAGTTGCTGGAGCAGAGGTGACTTTGAGTCTGCTGAGGCCACACTGGAACAAGGGATGGATAAGGACACAGCTGGCCTCTTTCGATTCTTCCCTGAAGAGAGGGAGGGTCCCGACTGGAGGGTCACCTGCGGCCCCTGGTGGGCATTCAGAGTGTCTAGTGGGGATTCAAAGAGGAAAGAAGCTCTTAGCAGAACTGTCGCCAGATGCCTGGAAGCCTTTGTGCAGTTGGTCTTTGTGTGGGAGGGTGTTTGTTTTTTCTTTTGCAAATCCTTCGGTTGGAAGCTTGGGGCAGCTTTTGCAGTGGTTCCTGGGGGCAGGTGGAGCCACAGTTACCAAGCAGGTAGGGATGGTCTTGGCCCTAACAGAGGGGTCAGCATTTAACCAACCAAGCAAAGAAGCAATGGGGGACGCTGGGCCTGGGCTGGCAGCCAAGCCACCTGACTGGGCTCTTGGCTGCCTCTGCCCTCCTTCTGTGCCCAACAAGTTGAAGAGAAACCAGCTTTGCTGAAGAAGCCAGGAAATACAGGGCTTTAGCACCCAGACAAAGTGAGACCCTAGAGACCCTACCCCTTCTTCATGATGAGCCAACCTCATAGGAAAAGAGGCCCATGGAAGAGTGACACCTTCCAACCCCAGACCCAAGTCTGCCTTTCACCAGTTGTGTGGCCTTAGACAAGTAACTTCACTTCTCTGTGCCTGCCTGAGAAGTGTCAGGGGACAGGGGTGGGGGTTGGGGGATGGCAGCATTGTTACCTCATCAGGTAGTAGTCAACGTGCATCAAGCCCCATGTTGCTAAAATTCGGGGAGTCTTGGCTATTTTTATCCCCATGTGCATGTGCACCAAGGTTCTAGACCGGTTCTCAAGGAGGGGAGGGTGCCGAGGTTGCAATTGCAAGGGAGGTAAAGTCAGTGAGAAAGAGTTGGGCCCCAGCCCTGCTCTGGATAAAACTCCATCCGTGTCCAGGATTCAGATGCTCAGCTGCCTAGATGCCCAATGCACACACTCTACTTTTTAAGGTTGTCTTCTGATTGCAAAGTGAAAATAAGATCCAATCTGAAGGCCCAGGAACTGAAGGCCCAGGAACTTGGTTCTGAGGGTTCTGTCCTTGGGAAAACTCTAAACTTTTTTGTTATGGTATGTGTATGTGCACATATGCACACGTGACATCAGAGGACAACCCAAGGTCTGTTCTCTTCTTCTGCCATGTAAATCCTGAGGAATGAACTCAGATTGCCATACTTGGTTGCAGTTCATGTATCTCCTGACATCTTGCTGGCCTCCTGGGATCCCCTTATCAGGTCCTTATTGTGTGAGCCTCCACCCAACAGCCTCAGTTTACCCTTCTGTGTGTAGCAGTGTAGTGTGCCCTACTTTGTTGACTTCTGCAGGCCAGGCCTCCTTATCTTTGTTGGTGGGGATCGTCCCAGCTGTCCAGGTCCAATCAAACTCCAGGCCTCCCTGGGCCCTTCCGTGGCCGCCTTCCTGAGCTCCTCATCCTTCCAAACCAGCTTTTCCTTCCCTAGTCTCTCCTTTCAGCCCTTCTCCCAATCTTTACTACTTGTTTATAACCAAAGGCCGTGAACCAGGTGTCTGTCTCCTGCAGGACTGACTCCTAGCCTACCTGGATAATACGGGCTAGAGCCAGCAAGGGAGGGGAGTGCCAGCTGAATCAGGTGGGCTGCTGGTCACAGCTGATGCCCGCAGACCCCTTTGGGAAACCTAAAATGGAGGTCTCCGCCTCTCAACAGTCTGCATGTTAATGTTTGAAATGTGGCTTTATTGTTCCTCTGTTACAGGGAGGCCACCAGAGCAGAGAATGTAGCTAAGAGAAGGGAGCTGTCACTTGTGGTCCTCAAGAGGGGGGAGAATGTCTATTCTGGGGGCTTCCAGGAAGGTCAGAGCATGGAGGGGAGAGGAGAAGCTGACGGCTGCAAAGCTGGAAGATCAGAAGTCACGATTCATTCAGAGATGCACAGAAGGCAGACTGGAGGCTCTGTGGTCCCTGGAGGCAATGTCTCCCTTGCAGAGTGTTAGGATTCTAGCGTAGGCTCCAGCCGAGGGCTCGTTCCATTGGCAGGTGAGCAAACGCCACCTACATGCCACAAATTACAGACTTATTTTTAATGTCTCTGTTTAAATGAAATTGAAATAAACAAATGAAGATAGCAGTGAAATCAAAAGATAATTGGAAGTCTGTATTGGGCGTCTGTGGATGTGCCTGCCTGATACCAATCTGGTCTCCTGCGTGCCCGGGCAGGATAAACTGAGAACTCTCCTGGTGGCCCCAGGGGAAGCCAGAGCCCTCAGATGGATGCCATGCAGCTCAACAGGCCCATGCTGGGTGTCAGCTTTGCATCTGGAAGCCCCACCCCCACCCTGCCATGGGCCTAGCTCGGTTTCCCAAGGTAGAGGTTCTACCCATGGTGACAACGGCAGGTGACCATGACACTGAAAGGAGGGGGAACATTGGAGAGCCACGGAAGATGAGTACCCTCTCAATGCACAAATGTGTGCCTCCATATGGCAGTCTATGCCTGCTTACTGCACAAGAGTGTGCCTCTGTGTACTCGTATTCATGAGGGAAGGTACGCAAAGATCAGAAGTGAGCTGATCCTGGTTTGACTGACCGGGGAGACTGAAGCCTAGAGAGTGAGGTCTGCTCTGGCAGCAGGCTCTGGGATTCAGGGCAACAGGCTGGGCTGGTGAAGGCTCCTCCTACTCACCCTGAAGATGTTCATCTCTCTTCTGTGGTGATTTTGCTTTCCACACTCACACAGGGGTGTTTTGTGGACAAGCTCATCTGGACCTGTGCTGGGCCTTGGGTATTATGTGTCCCAGAATGGCTCCCCAGCTGCCGGGCACGGCCTGGCCTGCCTACCATGCTTCCTGATTGATCAGTTTTGGAGGCTGGGGACTGAACCCAGGGCTTTGCACATGCCCTACCTGGGTCTTGAGATGCTGAAATGGGCCGGGTTTGGGGTTCACTCTGGGAATCCCAGCACTAAGGGGGCAAAGGCAGGTAAGTTCAAAGCCAGCCTAGGTTAAATGGTAAAGTTGTCTCAGAACACAGACACACAACCATACTCTCTCCACACACAGTCAAACATTCACACACACACACACACACACACACAAACTCACACTCAGCCACACACAATAACTCACACATTCACATTCTCACATTAAGGCTCAAACCCACTCTTGCACACTTAAACACTCATACATACAAACATCTCTCACACAAACATTCAACATTCTCACCCGTGTGTGAGTGCACACACACACATACGCACGCTTATTGAATCACACGTTCATACACTGAATCCCACAAACATGCACTGACACAGCCAGTCACACCCACACATTCATAAACATCCTCATAGACACACTCACAAATCACAACCACACACACTCACGAACACATATCCATACTCAGATAAACACTGTCAAATACATGCATGTTCACAGACACATGCTCACACTGACACATGCACACACATCACCAAACACAATCACACACCCACAATCGCACTCATACAGACCCACACATCCCACACTCTCAGACTCTCTCACTCACACGTGATGACAGTCACACTAACACACAACACTCCTCACACATGCATAAGGTTTACACACACACTCAAATCCCAACACACGGCCACAGTGACACACAGAATATTACATACGCACAAATCCACACTCAAACTCACATCTACACTCATTCGTACATGTGCCCTTCGATATATATGCACACAGCCACATACGGTCACACACACTGACATGAATTTACACACACACAGTGACACACATGTTCTCACACTCAAACATACACATACTCTCTCCCACAAGCACACTCAACAGAACTACACGAAACCACACAATCATTCACCCTCACACCATCTTACACACTCGTGTCACACACAGCCACAGGGAGACAGCCACTGCAGACGTACTCTGATACACTCATGCACTCCCACACAATCACATTCTCACACGTACATACACTCAAACTCACACAATACTCTCTCACACATTTCCACGTATACCGACACACACCCCCACGGAGAATCATACACACAATCACACACGACTGGTCTCACACACCCAGACACTGTGACCCTTCGTATTTCATATCACCACACCCCATCCCACACTCACACACTCACACACACACTCACTCACACACTCACACACTCACTCACCCACATTCACTTTCATACATTCAGTGACCACTGGGACAGACAAACCCTAGGCAGGACAGGAGGACAGAGAGCTGGGGGGACTGTTCCTAACCATTGGAGGCTGTGTAGGATTGGGGACATGACTCAGATGACATGGGGGTCAGAGTAATAGCTGTTCACCGTCTGATCACAGTGGAAAACTTACAGTTCTGTGTGTGTGTGTGTGTGTGTGTGTGTGTGTGTGTGTGTGTGTGTGTACATGAACATTCAGAGGCCCCAGGGATCAATTCTTTCCCGGTCTCTTCATTATTTTTGAGACAGGGTTTCTCACTGAACCTGGAGCTTACTTACTCAGTTAGGCTGGCCGATTAGTGAGACCCAGGGGGCCTCCTGTCTCTGCTTCTTCAGCACTGGGGTTATAGGATCAGGCCACTGTGCCTGGAGTTTTACATGCATGACAAGGATCTGAACTCAGGACCACATACTTATTCAATAAGCCCTATGCCTACTGAGCCATCAACCCAGGGCCTATCAACCCATTTTAGTGATGAAGATGTTGAGGCTCCTAGGAGGCAAGGATGGTTCCTCATCCACGGTCTCACATGGAAGTTGGTCTTCTGTTTGATCTTGACCCTCCACCCATACGGACCATGGGCTGCTTATGTCCCAGGTCAGCATAGCTCAGGGATGGGACTCTGGAGAATC